AATCTTGCACATGATTAAGCAAAACTAGAAACAGTTTAATTACTGATGCTTTACCTGTGTCTTACATCATACATCTCATTCCGAAATTCAGAAACTATGATCTGTGGCCGTGAGGTCCCAGGTAAATAAAACTGTTTCATCAGTGCCTGAAGGACTCTTTCATCAGCATGATTATGGCAACAATAGGCTTGTAGAAGTCCCTTCAAGCAAGATTCAATAGCCAAAGCAAGCTCAGGGTCCCGAAGATGAATGCAAGCTCCTAAAAGTTGGAGAAAATTATAGAAGGGCTCATAAATACTTATTTTGAAATAGTAATAACTATCTTTTTATTATATTTCATAAATGACTTAAAATATTTTCATGTAAAGTAGTTTAAATGATATTAGAGATCTTATTTTAACTGAATAGGAAATCCCCACATACCCATTGGATACACTAAAGAGAAAATCCACAAAATCCTGTGAAAAAAATTGTCCCATTTCTAATGTAAATCAACAGTGGCTTTTCTATCTAAGTTTATATCATTCCAGCCTCTCAATGGTGCTTTGAAAATCAAGTCAAAAGATTTACAGATTCTTTATTATTTTCTGTAAAACTGGCTAATATTGAGATTTTAGATTTAGGGATGGGGAAAAAAGCCTCATTCACTGAAATAGATCCTGTTGTAAAGGTGCATATCATTTAAATAAAGAGCCATCACTACAATACTTAAATGTAATACTTTACTAACAAGACATATTTATATTATAGCATCCTTTTCACTTAACAATGTACAGAATTAGAGATAATTCCCAAGGAGAAACTAAGAGTATCTTTTAAAATACCATAAATATATGGGAATAATTAAATAAACATAGATTTTACAGCTGGAAGAGAACTTACAAATCATGTTGTCTGACCTAAACAGAAACTAAGAAAGCCATTTTACAGAGCTTACAAAAATTCCAGAGAGTGTTCTTTTGACTATATCTTGATGATACCGGATTTTCTGATTAATCAATCATATTCAAGTTAGTTCATTCATTTATTCACTCAGGAGAAAAATAAGAACCAGATTATTCAACTCTATAATTATGTTTCCTTTTCCTCAGTTCTCTTTCTTTTAGCTATTTTATGCTTTAAAAATACAAAATAAAAGCTACAAAATTTAACATGATTTTATTACTTTATTTTTTAAAATATGTACAATTACAATTCACATGTAACTATATAGGTCTTTGATAATAGAGTTTAAAACTAGATTCAACAGACCCTTTTTTGAAAATAAACTTATTTCTAATGTTTATTATATCCTCATTAAATCATGACAAATACCTAAAGGGCCTACAGGTTTATAGGTAAAATGTCCTCGTCTATAAGCATCATCTATTGCTTCAAGGAGAGCTGGAACATGAGGGCCAAATCTTTTTAGTCGATCAGTTTTACTATCTTTTAATTCTTTCAGTTGCCTCTGATTATAGTTCAATGCATCCTTCACATCTAATTCTTCCCTTCTGAAAAACAAAAATAGATAAACAGGACAGATATGTGATACGGTTATATAGAAATACTCAGCTTTTGCCCATATAATATCAGCAATGACCTAGCTACTGTAAAAACTAAAGCAGAATTCTTTATTTGAAAATAATTGTGTTACCAGAGACCTGTGTTACAAGTCACAAGTCCTCAAAATTTGGCATGAAAAAAGTGACACAACAGTTATGGACTAGAAATCCCGGAAATTGTTCAACTCAACAAGTGTTAGTCTTTTAAAGAGTGATTTTAACACATTGAGTGCCATGTTAGAAAAAAAATTTTTTCCTTGGGGCCATGGTGTTTTATTAAAACAGAATAAAAACTTCCAAAACAAAACTATCCTTTCTAATTTAATGAAAAACTTGTTATATTTTATTTTTTTCTGTGCATGAGTTATATGCAACTTGAAAAATAGTTCTCGAGGCTCCTAAGGTGAAAAGACCTGTGACTTACATTATGTTTCACAAGGCCCTGGGCTCAAAACTTGTGTTAGTTAAACAGAACTCTCATGGCAGTTAATGTGTTAAAAGATCCCTTTTTATGCAGAGAAAACAACAAAAATTCTCTCTTCATATAAAGAGCAAAACTATATGATGTTCAACTAATTGAAAAAAATCATTCTAAGGTTGTTGCGACTTACTTAATTCTGGTATATTCTTCTTTGTCCTTTTCTATGGCTTGCTGAAACTGTTCAATCTCTTGATTGACTGAATTTTCTTGATCCTGTAAGGCTTTTACTCGTTCCTTTAACCAAGATATTTTTTTTTGCCTTTCCAACCGCTCAGGTTCCAAAGATTGATCAGTACTAACAGTAAATAATCCAAAGTGAAAAATGTTAAATGAAAAACCTAACATTTAAAAAACACAAACCAATGTAATAAAATTCCATTAATAATAATACAGAAAATACTCTATTGCACCTAGATTACTTTATTACAAAATGAAGTAATCATGAAAACTGCAAAGTAACTATCCTACCTTTTAAGTTCTTCAATTCTTTTACAAAGCTGCTCATCATCTTTCTTTAATGCTTTATATTCATTTAGGGAACGGTTATACAAAACCTAACAAAAAAATTAGACATGCTTTACTAAAATGAAAACATAAATATCCTAGTCAAGTACAATTCTGCCACATCTTCAAGTCAGAGGCTGAATATGTGCAGGAATATATTTTTAAAATAAAATATATAAATGGCCATCTGAAACCATTACATTTTTTAAAGTCTGAAAGCAACAGAGATTTTAACACAGGTATAGAACACATTTACTTTTAAAATTAGATGAAGAGTCTTTATATTTGCTACAGAGCTTTTAATATTCCAGATTAGAAAATTTCCTCACCTCAGCTTCATTATAGGCCCTTTTCTTAGCAGTGACATCTGCTTTCAATGCCATACATTCTGGTGCTCGGGCATTTGTCTCCTCACTAATCTTTTCTAGTTTATCTTGAATATCCTTGTACTTTTTTTCTGCGTCATTAAGTCTGACCTTTAAGAAAATGATAGTATTGGAGTACATTTTATTTTTCTTTAATAAAGAGAGAAAAATTAAAAATAATTACATATAGTTCACATCCCAAGAATAAATTTAATTTCATTCAAGACATTAGGTAAACAAACATAATCATATAAAATACTAAAATATAATTTAATTTTAACTCACATTTAGTTATCCAACAAATTTGTTATCCTCTGGGAATACAAAGACACAATAACAATTGTCCTTAAATAACACAATTAAAAGGAGAGTGACACAATTTAGCAGAGAAATAACACAAACGGATGATACAGTTTGTATATAATAATGCTTACATAGGGTATATCTATTTACAATTGTGGTAACGCAGAGAAAGAAACCATAGGTCTGCCAGAAACCATCAAGAATACCTTGAAAAGAAAGTAGCATTTAAGCTGAGAGGTGAAAGATCAACCAAAGTATATACTAGGAGATAATTTAGGGAAGGGTATTAGAGACAGATGGAAGAGCATGTGCAAAGGTATTAATATCTATTTTAGAAATTAACAATTTTGCTGGACTTAAGAGAATAATGGTGGAAGATGAGATGAAGGGGTAGAGGGCCCCGCATTCCATAATAGATGGCTTACAACTTAATCCTCTAGACAAAGGGAGACAAAATATGACCAAATCTGCATGTTAGATCACTCAGGAAGTACTTGAAAAACAAGACAGAGGAAAAAATTAAAGAAAAAGATTCCAGTAAGAAGTTAATATAATATTATGGAGCAAAAATAATTAGGGACCAAAATGAGGACATTGACAATAGGGACGGATTAGAAGGGACAAATACAATAACTATTTAGATCAGTGGTCGGCAAATTTTTTCTATAAAGAGCTAGACAGTGTATGGCTTTGTGCTCCATGTGGTCTCTGTCATAGCCACTTGAGTCTGTCATTGTAACATGAAAGCAACCAAGACAATACATAAAAAAATGAATTTTTTTTTTTGGCCGGGCGCGGTGGCTCACGCCTGTAATCCTAGCACTCTGGGAGGCTGAGGCGGGCGGATTGTTTGAGCTCAGGAGTTCGAAACCAGCCTGAGCAA